GGGACGGCCGGGCTGGGCGGCGGCGGCCTGGCGGGGCCCGCGCTGCCCGCCGCGTCGCCCCCGCCGCCCGCGTCTGGCCCCGCCGCGCTGCCCCCCGCACTGCTGACGGCGCTCGGGCCCGCGGCTGAGGGCGCCCGGCGCCTGCACAAGTCGCCGTCTCTGTCGTCGTCGTCTTCGTCCTCGTCCAACGCCGAGTCGGGCACGGAGAGCCCCGGCTGCTCCTCCTCGTCCTCCAGCAGCGCCTCGCTCGGCCGGGCGGGAGGAGGCCGCGGCGGCGCCTTCTTCCACTTCGCCGACGGTCCTTCGACCGGCCCCGGCGCGGCCAACGGGCACCCAGGGCCGCGCGGCCCCGCGCCCGCCGGCTCTCCGCCGCAGCACCAGTTCCACCCGGGCCGCCGGAAACGCGAGAACAAGGCCAGCACGTACGGCCTCAACTACCTGCTGTCCGGCAGCCGCGCGGCCGCGCTGAGCGGAGGAGGCGGCCCCGGGCCCCAGGCGCCGCGGCCCGGCACGCCGTGGAAGAGCCGCGCGTACAGCCCGGGTATCCAGGGGTGAGTGCGCGCGGCGCGGTGCGGGGACCGGGGAGGGGGCGGGGGGGGGGGGGGACCCCCCGTGGAGATCCCGGCCCGGCCGGGCGCGCCACCCCGCCGCGCGGCTCCCCGGGCAGCGCCGCGGGAGCTCGGAGGTCCCCATCCGGGCTCCCGAGGGTGGATGTTGGAGGCCAACGTCCGACTCCCTGGGAGGTTGTTATTTCCATTTTAAACTCCTCTTAACAAACGAGTGAAATGTCCGGATTCTTGCACTAACAGTGTAGGAGAGGGACCGTTGAGTCCGATTTGTGCAGATGTTTTCCTTTTCTCCCTGGCGAAACTGGAAAGGAGGTCGCCTAACTTTCTCTCCATCTCCTCCCACCCCACCCCGACAGGTTAGGGACCTTTTGTCAGAGTGGGGTGCAGATAGGTGTGGAGTTTGTTACCTTGCAGAGAATTATAGTATTGCCAGGAATTTGAATTAAGTGGAAGGTACATATTGGTTAAATGTTAACTTTGTTTCTCCGCGGAAATACATTTGAAAGAGGATTAGATTTTTTGTAACGATACAATTTAACCAACAGCGAATTTAAAAATTACATTTTCGGGAGGGGGTTTCAATGTTACGGTTTAATTTTGTGCCGAAAGTGACAAGTAGCGTCATCTGCATTTTTTTAAACAAGTTAGTAGCATTCAGAGGAAGTAAAAAACGTTTGTAGCAAATACTTATTCTCTGGAAAGCGTCACTTCTGCTTTACTTATTTCCACATCAGCCTAAAGGGGATTAGAAGTTCCTTTTAGGGTTAGTGCAATTACAGACGCAAGGACTGGTGAAAAAGGTGTGTGTGTGTGTGTTGTGTTGTGTGTTGTGTTGTGTTGTGTTGTGTTGGAGCAGTCCCAGGTGATGCTGCTCAGGTGTGAGTGCTACTTACCCAGCCCTCTTACCTTCCTGTGCTTTTCTGAGCACTGGAAACAAGATATCTGTATGTAGGTTTTATGTTGGTATTTCAGGACTTAAATCATAAACTCTCCTTGTACAATCTCATGCTGACTTAAAGGGCATCTAATGATTTTCCTGGATGTTAGGGTTGGAAAACATTAGAGGCTTAGAAATCCCTCAGTTGCTAGGTATTGAAATTATCTCTTCAAGTAACTTTTTTTTTTCATAGGTCTGTTTATTCTGCTTTGAAGTGTGTTGTAAAACACTTAAGTTGATACTACTTTAGAGAGTGTATGATACACAGTAATAGCTGCGTTCTGCAACTCGTTTCACCTGGTGTGGGTTGGAAGCATTACTTTCTTAAATTCCTTGAAGCGTTGAGCATGCACTCAGCCCCAGGGAGGAGCCCAGACTCCTCTTCCCTCTCTTTCTCCAGTTCTTACTTGTAGAACTTTCTGAGAATAGGTGGTGGGGACACAGTTTCTTCCTTTCTTCTTTTCTTTCTTTCATTTATTTATTTTTTGGGCCACGTTGGGTCTTCGTTGCTACACGTGGGCTTTCTCTAGTTGTGGCGAGCGGGGGCTACTCTTTGTTGCGGTGCGCGGGCTGCTCATTGCAGTGGCTCCTCTTGTTGTGGAGCACGGGCTCTAGGCACGCGGGCTTCAGTAGTTGCAGCACGTGGACTCAGTAGTTGTGGCTCGCGGGGTCTAGAGCGCAGGCTCAGTAGTTGGTGGTGCACGGGCTTAGTTGCTCCACGGCATGTGGGAGCTTCCCCGACCAGGGCTCGAACCCATGTCCCCTGCATTGGCAGGCGGATTCTTAACCACTGTGCCACCAGGGAAGTCCCAGACACAGTTTCTTGATGTATGGCGTTAAACGTAAGAGTTCTTTGGGGGACCTGTAGGTTTCCAACCTGTCTTGTAACTGGAATTGACTCTGTGTCTTAGCACTTGGAAAACAGAAGGCACGTGGTCTTTGCTTGTAGAGCATTTTTGGGCCCAGACCGTCTGGAGTCCCGCTTCTTCCTCTCATGAGCTGCCAGCAGTGCCAGTGTGATACCCCTGTGCAAACTCCTCAGGCTCTGGAAGCTGTTTCCTCACCCATAGTTTCTAGTACGCCTCAGTACATAGGTTGCTGTCGCTTTCCTTAATAAATGAGCCTACTACCTGCCAGGTGCTGCCCTGGGATCTGGGGGTGGGGTCAGCATGGGAGACACAGCCTCAGGACCCTGACTTGGAAACCTGAGTCCGGGTTGCCCGCACCTAGGGCCCACAAGCCCTGCCTGTCCAGTCTCTCTCTGCCTGTCCTCCTCACTGTCACGTGGCCTGTCGTCGTCTCTAGTGAGGTTGCTCATGAACCCCGACATGGTCATCACGCCTTCTTGCCCCCCTTGGACCATTCCCGGCACAGCCAGTGGGCTTTTCTCCTCTGGCAGCAGCTTGGGTCAGGTCCCACCCCCGGGCACCTCCCTCGCCCCCCTTAGGTTAGAGGCAAAGCCTGATACCCGGCCTGCTTCCCAGGTGCTGCCCCTCTGGGCCCTGCCTGGGGTCTCCACTCCCTCTCTGTCAGGGTCCCCCGCCTCCACCCCCATCAGCCTGTTAGAAGTCGGCTCCAAGTCGTGTAGGGCTGAAGAGTGGGCTCCGAAGCGGCCAGGAGTTCTGTGTTTCGGCCCACCTAAATAGGCGGGCTGTGTTGGCCGCCCTTCCTTGCCCACCTCTATGGGTGGCCCTGGGCCTGTCCACTCCTGCCATCCCTGCCTAGAGGAGGAGTCTGCTAGGACTGCCTGTCACTTGCCTGGAAGGGTGGATACTCTACGCTTGGTTCGCTGCTCTGAATCCTAGCGGACTGCCCATCTAGAAGGGCTGAGCGGAGGAAGAGTGCCCCGGAGGGAGGCGTCGTCCTTCGTCCTTCGCGAAAAGACATTGCCACGGGCCTGCTGGGCTTCTCCAACTGACTTTTTGGTATCAAGAGATAGCTGTGTCTGGAACTTTCTTCAGGCTGCCAGCCTACCCAGAGTGATGAGGAAGGCCACCAGAAGGTCCCTCACTTGTGGCTTAGACAGGGAAAGAACTGAGATAAGAGATCGCCTAGGCCAGCCAGCAGAAAAAAATCTTGTTGATGAGATGTTGCTCAGCCCATCTAGTCTCAGGACAGCATTTCTGGAAAGACAGTGTCTGCAGTCCTCAAGAAAGGGTAAGCAGTTGCTGGTGATGGGGGGGTGTGAGTAGCATCAGCTGAACCCCACTGGGCCTTTGCCTGGTAGCCCATGTAGCAGCTGGCACCATCCCTTCTTTCTTGGGGGGGGTCTCTGCCCTTGGGAACTTTGCCTGGCGGCCGCCTTGTAAGGTGGCCAACCTGTTTGCATCCTAAGACGAAGAAAAAGCAGGTGAAAGTGCACAGGAATTAGTGCAAGAACCTTCAGAGTGGAGAAGGTCAAATTCTTGTTTTGGAGCTGCCGCTGGTTCTAGTTCTTAGTCAGTTTCCTTGGTTGAGCTCTCAGCCTTGAGACTGACCCTGAGCATGTGTCCTGGCCTCTGGCTGCCGCCACTCTCTCTGGCCCTTGTCTCCTGACCCAGCAGTACTTTGTGACTTTGCCTGGGTCAGTCTCAACAGCTTCAGAAACCTTCCCAGTTCAAAGGTAAAGAGAAGTCCTGCACAAGTGAGAGTGGAGCGTGAACCTCAGATACTCTGCCGCATCCTTCCTGGTGCCCTGCAGACCCCCAGGAAGGAGATCCTGGAATGGGAGAGAACCCAGCGCTCTGGCGGATGCCTGCAGTCCGGGCCCTGCCCTGGCTTATGTTCAGCGTTTGTCCTCTGTGGCCTGCCCGCAGTGTGCAGAGTCACACGCAGCACCCTCCCTGCAGGTCCCTTGACAGTATTTCATTTTTTTAACATCTTCTGTTCCCTCAGAGAAAATTCACTTAGCCTGAAGTTTGTGAGCAGCTGACAGATGTGCCCTGCTGGGCCCCGGCCTGGGTTCTTTCTAACTCCACACATGTTCTCTTTTCCCCTTTCTCCCAAGTCAGTGCCTGGAGAAGATTCAGGATCCCTCCTCTCCCTCTGTGCCTCCAGCCTGACGTGACACTACCTACAGTCCAACGAATGGCCTCCCACGGCTCGTCCTTAGGGGACCAGTGGGAGGGCACAGGTGAAGGGCCAGCAGGACCCGCCATGGACCATGGCTGTCACCACTCTTGTTGCCTTTGTCTCATTCTCATCTCTTCCTGCAGACGTCTGGGGATGCACAGGAATGGTTATTGTGAGATGGTGGCACACGTGGGCCTTGTTTTCTGAGTCTTTATCCTTGGAGGCCCCGAGGGTGACGCGCTGGGCACGAGTTTGCTGCTGCACTGACCGTTCATGAAATTAGCTCCTGCTCGGACACTCCTCCCTGCGGGAAAGTTGCATCCTTGTCCCTGCCCCTCGCGCCGCGGCCAGTCTCTCTGCGAAGTGAAATTGAAAATCCAGCACAAGGTGGTGGCAGTGACAGTCGAGGAGAGTGATGCCTGGGTGCTGGTAAAGGAGGACGGGCAAAGCTAGCAGAGCTGACGCTCAGAGACGGGGCTGCCGGGGAGGGGGAGGGGGAGGGGCGGGACGGAGCTCTGGAAGTGGAGGGTCAGGATATGAGGAGTCCTCTGAAAAGTGGGCCCTCGAATGATCTTGTAAAGAATGGCCTCCCGACTGCTCCTGCTGCGGAGGTCAGGGTGGGATAAAGCGGACGTCCTGCTGCTGTGAGCTCTGGATGGAAAAGCAGTGCCAAGGCAGTGCCATTGTGGCCTCTTAGATGTGACACGTGGTTGTGACTTGATTGCTCCTAAACGTATTCTTAAGTGTTTTAAAGTAAACAAGTTTTTCAGAATTTAAGATTTGTTTTTCAAAGTAAAGTCTCAGACCTTCTTTTGGTTGCTGTTTAATATGAAATTTTGGCCCCCATTTTAAATGGATTCATGTAAATAGAAGGAGAGATAACAGTCATCCTTGGAAAATAAGGCTTTGTGCGCCACAGTTAGGTCATTATGGTTTAAGATTTGGGTTTTGGGTTGTGAAGTAGAAGAGGGTTGTAGTAAACAAACAAAAACCT